TCTGTTCTTACGCACCTCCTTCGGCAAAGGCTATGCGCATGACGTCACAGCGGACTGAAGTTACTGCGCTCACACCCACCGAGCGGCAAAATAACTGAGTTGTCCATCAGTGTTCAGCTTGAATGCCGAAAAAACATATCTAAAATGGTAAAGAGCTGTCGTGTGATTGATTGTACAAATCAATTAAACAAGATATAAGAGTTATCGTTTTATGGACTGGCGAAACGAAATAAATAATTTGACTTGGATCGGTCACATATCAGATCGATGCACCTCTAATAAAATCCGTTTTTCCAGAGTTTTCTGTATCTTATGTTAGTATATACTTTTCTAGTACAAGCATATGGTCACAGATTGAGGGGGACATCCATGACCTTGATTGATATTATTTTTGATTGGGAGAGTCAGCGTGGAGGACGATACACTCAGCTGAAGTGTCACAGTCATTCGGATAATGATGGTGGCAGCAGGTGGATATTTATTGCACATTTGACCTTTCGCCGCAAACCGCTCATTGTCATGCCGTTTGCAGCAGCTCGGCTGAAAGCTGTTTTAGAGACACTACAATAGCGTGCATTGTTTGTTGATCATTGTGTGGCTCTTTCAAGCTAACCTACTGTAGCTTGTATCCAATATTCCGTTACATTAGGGCTATTTTAAGACAGAGGCAATGGGAGCTTCGCCTTTTTGCCCTTGGCAAAGAAAGATACGGAGAACCATAGGTAGATATTTTATTATGCGATATACGCTCAAATAGAAGTAATTTTCCTAAATTATTTTACAACTGTAGTACAGTATTAGGTTGTAATATTTTCTTTACAAAACTTGATTCCGTTGAACTAAATTGTACTCCGTTCCTTGGTAATGCACAAGTTAAACGGTATATATATCAGCTATATATTTATTTTATAATTTTATATTTAATATATTTTTACGCTATCGTTTTTTTTTTTAAATAAATCTAGTAAGTTTCTTTCCGTTTATGTGTTTTTTATATTTTGATTTGTTTATAATAATGTATTTAATGATGTTGATAATGACGATGGAAATAATCGTAGAGCCTTTCGAGATATTCTGCACATTAATATTTTACTTTAGGAGTTCAACCTGAGAGCCTTGCATCAGTAGCCTTCAACTTTGAATCTTCCACTACAAGCTAATTGTACCTCACAGTCCAACTAAAAGTAATTTCACACAAAATCCTCCCATTTCAGAGAAGTTTAATAGACCGTGATATGTTAATCTAGCAGTGCACATTAAATACATAATTGAAGGTATTGCAGTCTACGGAGGAGAGTAATGGACTAAATCTTCATTTTAGCCCATTCTTTACTGCTGCAGTATGGTGTGATATATTTGTTTTTGTTACCTGGTGTGTAATTAGATTATTAGAGTGTTTTTATATATTCAGAATATTATACTGTAAGTCTCTCATTTGTTAAGGTAGATTGTGACTCAGTACTTTGTTTTTGGTCTAAAATAAATACAGATAACTAAATGTATACATTAATGAATGTACAGTGAATCACCTGAAGCGGTCCTTATAATGAATGTTTTTAATAAAAAATATGAACCAAGATATGAGAATAAGCACTGCTACACAGCAATAATTCACTTTAGATCTGAAATATCTTCAACAAAGGCAGATGGCCACAAACTTCTTGTATGTTTCTGTCTCTGTTTTCCCAGAAACCTTTGCATTTTATGACTAGTGCTTCTGGTCACATGCCAAGTGGTCACATGACTTGGCAGTATTGATTATGCTCTTTCTCCAGACCAGTTTCCAACAGTGATCTCCATATGTAGAAGTGCAGACCAGCCTGGAGCCTCAATGTGACCAGGCTTTCACTTCTCCAGTTCCCTCTGGCTTCTGCAGGTGGATGCTGTTTGGGACTCCCTGAAAAAGCTGCATAGGACAAATGCTTACAGAGAATAAATGGATAATGTAATGGAGCACAGTGTCCATTTTTACCATATATTGTTTTAAGGTCAACATTTATCGACTCATTCTTATTAGGTGAAGATACATAGGGCAACTTTTTGAGCAATGTTGCCAGGCAATGGCCAACCAGGTGAGACAAAGGGTAACTCATCTGGATCTGGATGATCGCAAAATTTGACCACTTTCAATTTTCAAGTTGACATTTTTGTTGGCCAAAATCATTGGGAATGGGTCCGAGCAACATCTGTCAGCAACGCTGCCTAGCAAGTTGCCCTGTGTACCGTCACCCTCAGAGTTGCATGATCTGTGTCTGTGTTTCTTTGTTCAAGCCTGTAAATTCAAATATTTACTTTTTATTTTTGATGTTCCCTGGTGTCCCAAAACTTAGTTCTGCGAATTAGTAAAGTTTGCTTTACTTCTTCAGTAATGTCATAGCCTATTTTAAATACATGTTCAGCTGTAAAGTCTATTCTTCCTAGATTATTTACTGTCATTATAATGAAACCTAAGAAAGAGAAAATAATTGTTAGTGACCTATACACCATATCCCAAAATGAACAGTGCAATTGGCCATCAGCTGCATAAAGATAACGCCAGTGAAAGATGAAGACAGTTGGATTTTATAAGCTTATGAATATTTTGCTTAATAAAAATTAATTTGTCATTGTATTTAAATATATGAAGACAGAAGACAAAGTCGGAGGTATAGCATAAACGATATACATTTATATTTTTGCTGCACATTAATAACGTTTCATCTGAAATTTCATCAGAAATGTTAATGATTTGTGAGAATACAAACTGAATGTGTGTATATGTACATATATGTTTGCAAACATGTACTTTTATTTTGTCTATTTTGTATGTGTACTTTGAATCCTGAAAAGTGTTTCAAATGTATTGGATAACATTTTACTTTGCTTGTAAAATTGTTGTGGCCTTTGCAATTAATTGTGAGTAATGTATGTGTACCTGCCCTCATGTGCCTTAGTATCAGTATAGTGGTAATTTTTTTATATGTTCATTCCTTTAATAAACTGCAGTAGACATGTATCGAGTACTGCTTTACTTTTAGTAATATACTGATACTGGTAGAGTACTGGACATGATATTGGATACAGTCGTAAGGAAAAAAGTATGTGAAACTAGGATTCCTGCACGAATTTCTTCTAAAATGTGATTTGATCTTCATCTAAATCATAATATGTCTGAAATAATTCATTATTTAAGAAACCAAAGCAAAACATTTTATATTGCCATATTTGAAATTAAGAGATTTCGCAGGACAAAGAGTTGTTGGAGCTCGTAAGATTATGAAAAGGTTACAACAGAACTGGCAGAGATTCAGGTCTCTGTCAGTCCACAGTCAGGCAAATAGTTTACAAAAGGAAGAAGTTCAGGAGTGCTGAGTCTTCCTGCTAGTGGGTGTAGGGTAAAGATCAGTGCCAGTGCATGCAGTGGAAATCTCAAGCAAGTGACAAAAAACAAGACAGTGACAGCTAATCTGCTGCTATGTCTTATACTTGATGACACGTCTCTTTATGGGCTTTTCGTAAGAAAACGCTGAAGAGTAGAGTTTGTGGGAGGTTACCACCAAGGAAAATGATGTTCTCCAAAACAGAATCCAGAATATTGTCATGACCTCAATCCCACTGAAATGTTGTGACATGACCTGAAGCAGGCCATTGAAGCATGACTTCCCAAAAATATACAAGAACTGGAATAGTTTTGTGGTGAATAAAGGGCCACAATACTTCCTAAACAGCCAATGGGTTTGAGTGGCAGCTACACAAAGCATTTGGTTGAGCTTATTACCAATAAAGTTCCACTAGTTACTAAATGTAAGGGTTGATATTCTTTTTCCATCAGTGGTCTTGTTTGCTTAATCTCTTCGTTCAGTAACATATGTGAAATGGCAGGTGTATTGTTTGTTAAGTAAGGCTGTATTATTATGACTTAAATGAAGATCACCTTACTTTTTAGGAACATTCAGAAATCCAGCTAATTCCACAAACTTTTTCTCTTATACCAAGAGCTGTTTTGTAGTCATTGTATTCACTGGTTTGTCTGTAAACAAATTAATTGAAGTACTTTGTTAAAAAGAGTGAATGGATTTCAATATTAAGACTTTAATTTAATACATCTCTGATTATTAATACATTGCTTTTAACGATATTTCAGGTTATGGCTTCTGCTAGACAGGTATGTTATATGTTCTCCCACTCAGTCCCTCCTGTACGATGTTTTCATTGTCACTGATTCTTTTACAGAATATAGCTTTTGTCCATTGTCAGATGCATGCTTTATACAAGTGTTTGTGGCACTGAGAAGTTTATGTCAAACTTCTCCTGTCATCACAGAGTTTAGTTTTAAAAAAAGCTTTAATAAAGAACAGTATCTTTGACATATACTTGAATATTGGACATATACTTGATTTGCAAGTCACAGCAAGTTTTTTTATTGTTGCTTTAAATTATTTTAAATAAGTAAAACAGTGTGATGCAGAATTTGCTTATTCATTCATTATTTTTTCTTTTCGGATTGGTGGTTCTGTGGCAGTATCCATCCGCAGTGTCTACTGCACCTATACTGTGTTTGATGTTATTAATGTTACTGTGTTGCCTGATCCGTTTATCATACAAATGTTGATTGTAACAGAAAATGGCAAAAAAACAGAATGTCATACGTTATTTTTATGCAGCTGGAATACAACAGTATTCATGATGGAGCATTGAGTATTATGGAAATCACAACTGCGACATATATATAATGAGTGTTATAAAATGAATCCTTGAATCGCATGTTGATGTGCTTTTATTCTTTTTTTTTAATCTTCTAAGTGATTGTACAATAATAATTCTTTTCAGATGTTTAATTTTTTGTATGAAATTGCCAAGCACCAGTTTTTGATCAGTGAGTGAATTTTAGATATAAATATAGATGGATGGGGTGACTCACTCTGCCTTGGATTTTCATTTTGTTTTCGTCACTTTGATTTAGTGACGGAGAAATAAGGCTTTGAAACACCGTGGGTGGGGCTTTTACTAATATCATTATATTAATTAAATTCAATTATGTTATTAAAATAATTTTCCTACTTGTTGGTGGAAATTGGCAAAGCAAAGTAAACCATCCGACTGAGAGCTTTCTAACCTAATTTCTGTATTACACTAGTAGCGTAGGGGTTTAAGTTAAGTATGGGGATGGCAGCGTGGCAGCTGTATATTTACATATTGCCTTAATGCAAAGTGGCAGAGTATTTTATTGTGGCTTGTTCTTTGGAGATAACACATCTCTTTTGTATTGGCACAATGAGGCCGTGTGTCTGTGTGAAAGAAATTCATGCAACCCCAACACTATAGTGTTCATGCAACCCCAACACTATAGTGTTCATGCAACCCCACACGGCAACATATGTGAAGGCGATGTATGTGATTTAGGTTTAAAACACTTTAGGTTTAAAAAGAAAAATCTCCGTTGTGTTTGCTAATGTATTTCTGGACATTTTCAATGAAAAATTATTTCAGCCATGACACAACTTTAGGTTGTGGTTAGCTGCTTTACACTATAGTAAATAGGTCCAAGCTATAGAAGTATTTACTTCTCAGCTAGACATACATAGTGTAATATGTTAAATATTAAGTTAAATAATTAACTCAATATATTATAAACTGAGTGATAGAAAATGATGCATAATTAGAAAATAATCACTGGCAGTTAGTACTACTGTATGTATAAAAGAAAACAAAAAGGAATGATGTGCTTTCTGTGTGTATGTAGTAAACCAAAGCTGCACTTTCATTCCTGATATTTTGAGCTGGATCTCTATATTCATATTCTTTAAGAGCAGTATTCCCCCCCCCACCCCCATGTTTTTTATTCTTTTTTATTATGCTTCTCTGTAGAAAAATTATTGATTACATTATTTGTACGCATACATGCATACTGGATTTACTCAGCATTTGTGTGTAATATGTGGTGCTTTGACTAAACCTTTACTTGATTCTTATTTGACAGCTTAAGGCTCATTTTCGTCTGCTTTTTAATATCCACCACAAATGAATGAATTACTTTTAATATTTCTGGAAGCATTATCCTTGAAACTCTTTAGAAGACCACAAAAACAGCTGCACTCTGGTTTACTCAGTAATTACTAGTCATACTAAACTTATTTGTATGAATTGTCTGTTTGATTCTGTACTGGATGAATGATGGATGTATTAATTGTATTAAGTAAAATTTTAAGATTAAATAAAATATGACACCTGGAGGGTACTTAAAGTCCCCTACAAAACATTGGCGACTATAATTGTTGAGTATGTCAGAATCACTAGCTGTGCGAGCCAGTTGCTATTCGTTATGGTGAATGGCCTTTGCATGCATTGGATGATGGGTGTTATTAAAGCTGATTGAGGTAGCGATGCTCATGACTGACACAGCGGCCGCTTGCTTACAGGGGCAGTGGAGGTGGCATGTCGCAGCCCCGTTGCATGCTGGGTCAGCTCCATGCTCTACTGCTTCGGAGGGGCCATTCTCTCTGCAGTGCTGCTCGCAGAACCACCTGTAGAACCATTTTCTAACAACAGCCATGTGTTGGTGGCCTCCCTGATCTGGTACTCTGCTTCATCTCTATTTATTGTAATCAGCTTGCATTACAGAATTCAAATAGGACACTTTACTATTGGGGCAGAATTATTTAGTAGCCAAGCAAAAAATTTGTGCGTAACAATAATGTGTTTCTTAATATTTGACTCAGAACAGCTCTCTCTTAATGAAAGTACGTCTAACTCAGGCACAGAGAAACGTTAAACCTCTAGCTTGACAAAATACAAGGTGGCTGTTTGACTATTGTATTCTTTACATTTACAGAAGAGAACCTATTTACATTAGTAAATATTTGCTAAGGTAAAATAATAAGGTTTCTGTATCTGTTCCTGTTTTCATATAGTTAATGGATTTAATTATATTAAATTTGTACTGTCATGCTGGTTACCATGGTTATATTATGGCTATATTATGGCCATGCTTCTGATTGGAATAGCTGAATTGAGCTATTTTAGTTGTCAGCCTGAATTTCAGGCCCTTCAAATGTTAATTTTATGAGAATGTTCATGAAATGGCACCACCTACTGATACAGTCTTAAAAGATGTACTATTATACTTAAAATTTAAAATAAATTTTCCATTTATTCTTGTATGTAAAGAGCCCCATTAGCAGTTATTCATCTCTTTCTTTTTGGTTTTTCAGGTACTTGATGTTCTACTGCCCCCAGGATCTAGTCTACAGCTGTACTTCCCTCCTACCTGTGCGATTAGTTTTGTCTGGGATGAAGGAGGTCACTCGTACATGGAAGGTTCTGGGAGGGGTTGTACAAGCCCAGAAGAAGTATCAGAATAGCTTGCTAGTAATGATTGTGGTTGGCTGGGCCAAAGGTATGAATACTACAATGTACTACATTATTGGTATATGTACAACGGTGTGCTACATTATTTGTATGTGTACTGCAGTACACTACGTTGTTCTCTGATATGTAACACTGCTTCAGTACCGTTTGCCACCAGTGTGATGGCATTCAAATTGTTATTTGGAGTATTATTGAAGCAAATTTGCTTGCATGAAGATATGAAGTATTATGAAGACTTTATTTTATTTATTATTATCAATGATTATCTAGCAGGAAAAAGTGATTTTGAATAAAGAACCTTATTATATATACTTTTAAAAAAAGTGAATTTAGGTTTAAGACTGAAAATGAAATTGAAATAAATATTTTTTCTTAAAATCTTTGTGGGGGTGGCATGGCGGTGCAGTGGTTAGCACTGTTGCCTCGCACCTCTGGGACCTGGGTTCGAGTCTCCGCCTGGGTCACATGTGTGTGGAGTTTGCATGTTCTCCCTGTGTCGTCGTGGGGTTTCCTCTGGGTACTCCGGTTTCCCCCCACAGTCCAAAGACATACTGAGGCTAATTGGCGTTGCTAAATTGCCCCTTAGGTGTGCATGTGTGAGTGAATGGTGTGTGAGTGTGCCCTGCAATGGGCTAGTCCCCCATCCAGGATTGTTCTCTGCCTCATGCCCATTGCTTCCAGGATAGGCTCCAGACCCCCCACAACCCAGTAGGATAAGCTGGTTGGACAATGGATGGATGAAAATCTTTGTATGTCCCAATGTGGGCAGTGAACAAACACAGGTAGCAGGTGAGGTGTAGGTGACCCCATCTCTGCTGTCTTCCTCCATTTCCAGGGTCAGGCCATGGGCTGATCAGTAACTTTGAGCAGTTGGTTCGTGGAGTATGGAGGCCTGAGACCAATGAGCTTCTCAAAATGTCATAGTAAGTCAGTTATAAAAACAAACCTATAACCTTAAACGCAAGCGACAATAAAAATATGTTCAGTAATTCACTATATTTTATCAGTACCTATAAAGTTCACTAACATGCATTGTTTACATTTGCATCTGTTTAGATTTGTTAATTTAGCAAATGCTTTTGTCCAAAGCATGGTACAAGTGAAGCAAATACAACATTGATTAAATGTAAAACATTTTTACTTCAATCTGAACTCAAGCAATTTACCATTTCTGAACCATTATCCTGTTTTTATCTTGTCAAAATTCAATCGTAAAATTTTACAATAACATAGTATTTAGATACTAATTTGGATTATTGTGTATTTACGCATATTACTTGCATATTTACATATTTTGCGTAATGGTACTTGTATAGATCTGCAGAATCGAGTAATTCATTATTTATTATATCAGCTGTATTATGTACAGTAGGGATGTCCTGATCCACTTTTTTGCTCTCCAATCAATTCAATATTTTTATCTGCCAATTTGGATTAAATCTTTTAATAAATATTTGAGTATACATACACATACAGTAGCTGGCGGTGCATTCATCTGAGTAAGCTTCACAGTATTAATTTGTTTATGATGTTTCTGCAAGCGCCTAATTAGATTTGTTGTATTTACAAAGCTCAATTGCTGCCTCCTCTCGAAAGGATGCCATTGCAAACATTTCTGGTGGCTATTGGGCTGCTTTGAGTTTTCAATTTGAAGAATTTCCACACGGCTGACATTGCAATGGTTTGTAGTTTCAAGCCGCAGACATGCTAGTGACGGAACTTTACAATCTGTGAAACTGACGTGAACTATGCGGACGTGGGAAATTAAACAGATCGGGCTTTAGATTGGGCTGCTGTAGTCGATAATAGCAATTAAAAAATTCATTGATCAGCCCTGATTCCAATCTTTTATATTTGCTCTGGCCATCAGTTGTATTATGATCTAGTGAGGGGAATGCATTCACCAGTTAAGGAAAAAAACAAACATATAAGGATATTTGTGGCTACAGTATATAATTAAAGATTTCTGTGGTGCTAAATAAACATGCCATGATTAGTTGCGTTTTCCTCTGTTATTTGTCATTCTCAAAAAGTTTGAAAAATCACTATATCTGCATGGTAATTAAAAATATAGCTGAATACATTTGATTCTTGTGAAAGCAAGGCTGACTTTTGTGTCTTTGCGTCTGCAGTGCCACTAAGGTCACCTTGATAGGAGCCATCGTCTTCTCAATGCAGCAGAGTCACATCCTCCCAGTGCAAAAGCATCAGCTGATGTTTCTCTATACCCTCTTCCTGGTCATCAACAAGGTCAGTCACCTCTGCCCATAGGTGAGGTTCACAGCTCTTACGCTACAGCTCTCAATACTTCCTATTGCATTTAGACTCTGTTCAGTTACTGTAGTGATCTAACAGGCATATGTCCATGTAGGTATATACTATTTTTAAAATAAAAGCAAGGTCAGAAAATTCTTCTCAATGAAACACTTTTTAGTAAATATCTGCAATCTGCAAGAATGTTACGATTTTAAGCATTGCGTTTACATTTTACAAAAATATCTCTTCAACAGCACAGCAGAGAAAAACATTCACATCATGCATCACCTCTGGAACACACACACACACACACACACACACACATATTATATATATATATATATATATATATATAAAAACAGAAGGCTAACCGTTTCTTTTTATTAGAAATATATGAAAAATATGAATAATAACTTTGTGATGCAAAAGTTCTTAAGTAGTGCCAAATAAAACAGTACACAGCAAGTCAATAATCTGGTTTAGTTTATTATATGTCTAAGATAGATAGAACTATTATGATAACTATCAATTCAATTCAATTAAATTCAATTAAATTCAATTCAGATTCATTTAAAAAGTGCATTTTCCCTGCCCAAAGCCCCCAGTGAGCAACCCAGTGGGGACAGTGGCAAGAAAAATCTATTGGGAGGAACCAGACTCAAAGGGGGAGCCCATCCTCTTAGGGCTGGCAAAGGATTTCTGGGATTTTGGATCCAGTAACTTCTAAATATCTGTATTTGCAAGAAATATATATCCAATAAAAAATGCTAGATTGCCCATTTTACGTGTGTGGTGCCTGGTTTCACGCCTCTGCTGGCTCTGTTCCCACGTATCTGTACTTGTTAAATGATGGATAAATAACCGTAATTGATCCTGTTGATTGTTCTTGTTTGAGCGCCTATTGCTCCCGCATATTGCCTCTGTAGTCACCGCTGAGAAACAAGCGTAAACATGGACAAGCAGGCAGACACACGCAGAGGCACAAGACCGGAGATGAATCTCGTGCCTTTCACACTGGGCCACTGTTATATTTCCAGCATATACCGAGGATGCTGTCGCAGTCAAAAGTCTTTCTTCATTATGGGTGATTTACTTGGTCTGAGTTTCTTCCCCTTGTACCTTTCACTAGGTGAGGATGATGTTGACTGCTCCGTCTTTCCCGTTCGCCCCTGTGGAGACGGCCATTTATCGTGTGCTCTTTGGGATGGAGTCGACACATTCCCCCTCCGCAAATGAGGCCGATGTGTCTGTCACGTCGCCCCCGGAGACCTGTACTGCAGCCGCAGAGGCCATCAAACCTGCCTCTCCGAGGCACAATGGCTCTGTGTGCTGCGACGCGGAACAAAACGCAGCCCCTTCTGCGGAAGCGGACGTAGACTGTTCACTGAAACTGGCGGCCAGGGATGATCAACAGACAGCTGCAGAGCGGATAAGGACTGATTAATGAACACCCTGCGCAACTTTTTCCATGTTCTCCTTAATGCAAGCTGAATGTAGCATGATTCATTATATGAGCGGTATATTTTCATATTTATTGAGGTTGATAGTCATTTTCTAAACAATGTCACTGGTTTTCAGGTGTTTTTATTACAATATGACATGCAGAACTGGGAATGTCTTGTGGCAGGTTTTTATCTGGTAGTTTTGTTATTTAATCACATAATTTTAATAAATTTTAAAATACTACATATTTTACATTTGTTCAGGAAAGAGGTAAACCTCCATTCTCTTACATTTGTTATATGTAATAGAAAAAGACGTTTCACTTTAATTTTTGCTCCTGGTTAATTGTACTTATCCTAGCTCATTTTTAAAGGGGACCTCACCAATGAATGTGGAAGCATTTTGTGCTCTCTCTATTAAATATTTCCAAAAAAGTACTACGTCGCTGAGAAAATATTTAATATCGTAATGTGTTAGGGTTGAATGGGGATTTTCTGGTCTGTGTGCAAATGAATATCTATTGAATTCCTTCCTGTTATCTTTGGAATAGTAAAAACTGCGGGTAGGGATTTTAGAAGTCCAGCACTACTCTGCACATCAGTCATGTAGTCATATCAACAAAGAACAAACAAGTTCCTCCTTGCTTTTGGCATCTAGCCAACAATTACACAAAATATCATATGTAGTGAACTCCAGTCAAGTGTTAAGAACTTGCCATGAATACGAGCATGGTGGCATATAAATGTTGAATACAAATGTTGCTTCCACAGTTTACCCACTAGTCATTGATATTTAGCATGTAATATTTCTCGCTTGTGATTTTAAATGTAGCTAGGAGCCTACAAAGGGCAGCATGGTAGGCAGGACGTGTCACACCTCCAGGGATGAGGGGTCATGCTATTCATATAAGAACATAAGAAATGTACAATTCCGCTACACTGGCAGGAAGACTATTCCATACTCTAACTACACGCTGTGTAAAGAAGTGCTTCCTCAAATTCGTTTTCAAATGTTCTCCCACTAATTGTGTGTGTTTCTTCCTACCGGTCCAAAGATGCACAGGTGTGTGTGTGTGTGTGTGTGGGGGGGGGGTTATGTATTATGGGGACATTTGTGATTATAAACCTGTTATTTTGATGTTGTTGGGACCATTTTTTCAGTCCCCACAGGAATAACCTCAATTTTACAAAAATCTGTGATTGCAATCAAAAAATAGAAAAAGCCAAAAGTCTTGTATTTTGTTTGGTTACTTGTAATTAAGGTTAGGGATGGGTGGGTAAAGGTTGTCATACGGTTATGGTTAGGGTTATCTTAAATATCGTTTCCTGGAGTATAATTAATGCTTGAACGTTTTGAATACTTTCCCTCCATCCATTTTCTGTAACCACTTGTCCTATTCAAGGTCACAGGAGGTCCAGAGCCTATTGTGAGTGCAAGGCAGGGAACAACCCAGGATGGGGGATCAATCCATCGCAGGGCACAAACACACACCATTCACAGCACACAAGCACACCTATGGGTAACTCCAATGAACCTCAGTATGTTTTTGGACTGGGGGGGCAGAGCATCTGAAGGAAGCCCCACAGTGACATGGGGAGAACCTACACACACGGAGCCATGTTGGAGACTTGAATCCAGGTCCCAGAGGTGTGAGGCGACAGCGCAAACACTGCACCACAGTGCCGCCCCTTTTATATAACTTATAATATGAATATTTTTAATAAAATGTATAATATAACAAAGTTCTCAGGCTCTGAATACTGCAATGCACTTTGGTTCCATCCAGCAGATCATGATTTATCTCTGCAGCTACATGCTGTCTTTTCAGGCTCAGGCTGGATTCATTAGTTGAAGCATCGAGCTTTATAACAGATCTGTCCCTGTTTGCTTCCTCCCAGCTGTCAGTGATTAGGATAGACTTTCCTATGCAGTATGGGATTATTCCATACTCTGACTGTAGTAGAAACTCTGATAAAAAGTCAAAACAAATATGGCACCAGCTAGATTAATGTGATTTCTCCCATAAATGGCAGCACCCAGAGTTACCCCATAAACAAGCAAAAATCGTAATGCACATTGTCAGGTTTGAATAACACGATGAGGTAAAGCAACATACTCTTTTTTCGGTCAGGTAATAAATTTTTTAGCTGCAAAATGTCACCCCTATCAAGCGAATTAGAAATAAATCACATTCACTATGATCCGTCCTGTATTTATGTCTGTCTTTTTGATTCTCCTCTACCCTGTCCTGCTAGTCAGATAATTGCATGGGACCATAGCACTTGAACTGCTCTTTTTCTTCATCCGTCTGTCTCCTCTTCCTCAGTAGTCTGCATAGTTACACCACAATCGCAATGCTAGTGATGGTGATTATGGTATAAGACAGGCCCTGTTGTGTTCCAGCTCAAAATATAATATGGGGAAGTGGCTGTTTTCAACCCTTGAACAAAGTATCACAGCCGGTGGAGAGACAGCACTTCTCTGCTATATCTGGTGTATGATGTTATCCATGTAGCCGCTTATCAAAGAGAGGATGGAGGTTCATCTCTTTCCTGGACAAATGCTATGTTTCACCCTAAAGTCAACGAGATCCTCTCCCAGAACTTTACTCATTAATGATTCAGCTTCTGGGTTATTAACACCTCCATCCATCCATTTTCTGTAAGTACTTGTTGTAATCAAGGTCATGGGGGGGTAACTATAGGAAGGAACCCCATGATGATGTGGGGAGGACTTGCAAACTTCACACACGGAACCCTGGCAGATACTTGAACCCTAGTCGAGGACCTATGAGGCAACACATTCACTAGCAGTGCCAGCCACTGGACCACTGCACCGCCCTTATTAATGTGTATGAATAATAATTTAAAAAACAAGCTCAACAAGTTCTTAATCCTTGTACTAAAACATGTGCCAAGCAAGTCAGAAAACTTTGTTTTGCTGAAAATCTGTCCCTCTCCAAGACGGCTGGAAGTACGAGTTTTTCAGACCTCTTCATTTAAATTCAGTTATTACATTATCTGTCTGTCCCTTGTAACTATTATTTGGACGTTTAGAAGCTGTCCTTTCAATCCCCCACGATTCTGAAAGAACCTTGCATGACTAGTAATATTGAGGAATGAAATATAAAATCAGTAGAATCAGTTTTTTGCCTCAGGTCTTGCGGACACATCTTACCAAAAGTTTTTACTAATAATATCACTGCAGTTCCTCGACTTTGCGCTCCAAAAATTCAGACACAAAAATACTTTGGAGACTTCAAACCGACTCCCTTGTAAATTGCGGGCTATTTCTTTCCGATTATTCAGTGATGAAGCCATTGAAGCTGGTGCTTAGATGAAGCAGGGACAGACTGGTTGCTAACAACCACTATAAGCTCAGTGAGGGAACCCATCATGACATTTCCCATCTTTGTCAAACCGGCTTCTTTTGCCAATTTAATGGCCTAGATCAAAAATCAGATCAGATCCCTTAAATCACCCACCTTTCCAGCCTGGATCTTCCAGGCCAATGAAACTAAATGAACAGCAGAAAATGAACCTATTTATGATATCCTGATTAAGCTATGACTTGTTGAGTTATGATTATGGTCATTCTGTGAGCCAAATGCTGATATTTTTTGACATTAGTAAAGGTAAAGGTATGCCAGATTAGCATTGTGCAACGTTGTAGCATTCATCCGCATATAGATAGGCAATGTCACTGTGCTGGCCTTGCTGTAAGCAAGTCATGGCTTTATACTGCCTGATACTGCTGATAAGGCAGGAATTAACTAGTCAGCAGAAGTAAGGAAAGTATAACTGAATCCAGCAAACCATCGCAACCACTAGTATATGAATCCAAGCGTCACAGTTACTTCACTAAAAGGGTATTATTTCCTCCTGCTCTGAGAAGAGCGGGACAAGCCGGCTGCCCTGATTTTTTGGGTTGTTTTCATGTTGGTGCATCATGACACTTATCATCTCAGAGGAGGAGAATATTAAAAACTATTTCCAGATGCATCACTTAATTATTGTCATCTAAAGTCATCCATCCAGTAATATAAAGCAAAAAAACACTGGTGGATGTTACTACAGTAACAAAAAGAGCACAAAATATGAAGTAACAGGTAATGGTGCCTGAGGAACTAGAGAACTTCACCACACTGCTGACCAGGCAATGACATCATTAATTGAGCAACTGGCATAAAGCAAGGATGATAACTTAACGTATATGGTTTTCTGCATGATTTTTAAATTCATTACTTAGGCAGATTTATCATGTACAATGATCTATACATCACAAGCACAAGCATAAACATAACAATCACCACTGTACTCTGTTCTGAGCAAGAAGTATTTACCTAATAATGATCCACACGAGGGCTGTAATGGGAGGTAAGATTAAACAAACCACTGGGAGAGAACGAGGGGGAATGGATGCGGGGCATGACAATAGGGGTATAGAGAGTGAGCGGGAATGAAGCCAGCACAATATAGAGGGCAACGGAAAAATCAAAAGGGACTCTTTGACAAGGAAGATGTAATAAAAACAAATAGAGGAGAGCCTGAAATGTGTAGACAGTATGGTTTCAATCGAGTCAGTACAGGGAAGAGATGTTATGTTACCATTTTCCCAGATGTCAGTTAAATATAGACTTTACGAGTGATGTTTCAAATATGACAGATTGGAGGCCAAATCGGCAAAGCTTGGCTGGATGCATATTGAGTCTTTTTTAACTGCTCATGCGGTGCAGGGTCATGGGGGGCCTGCTCTCGATCCCGGGCAGCACAGGGCAGAAGGCTGGAGAACATCTTGGACCTGATTCCAGTTCATCACAGGGCACACATTAGGGAGCAAAGTACAGAAGGCCGGTTACTTAACTGCGGGCATATAGAGACAGAGCGAACCAGAGGCAGGCCACCAGATTCCCCCGAGGAAACAAGGAAAACACGCAACTGCCTTTCATACACCCTGGCGTGAGGCACACCACTCTTTAAGAAGATGTAACTACATTTGGTTAAAGCCAGGAGCCAGACAGAGCGCTTGCAGTTTATTTTGCTGAGAAATACGCTGTGGTTCCATTATGCACTTAGCACAGCATTATCCTCAGCAGTCGCGGAGGCTGACCGCACACCCACGCTCTTTCATACCTTCTTCGCCGCAAAACAGCTGCTCTCCAGTTTTCTCGCAGCGATACATTTTGAAAGTGTTCTGTTCTTACAGGTACAGCATACCACTCTTTATGGCTATTAGTCCTAAGTGGAACTGAGCTTCTCAGCAGTAAGCGGAGACTTACACTGACTCATTCCTTGGTTTAGTATCTACAGTAACTTCTCTGCCTCCTGAAATTTCTACACCGTAAAGCAAAGGTACCGCCTTATCCAAGCTAACCTTCCAGAACAAAAATGTCTGCAAAAAGCTGCGGCAATAGTTAAGTGAACCCAGCTGACTGTGA